GTTCATCTTTGCCTCATTTTTCTTTTAGCAACGCCATTGGCCCTCTGGTTGCCCTGTACCTGGTTTATAAAATGGGAGATGTATCTTCAAAAGAAGCAACCCCAATATGGCTTCTGCTGTATGGTGGTGTTGGCATCTGCATTGGTCTGTGGGTCTGGGGAAGGAGAGTCATTCAGACCATGGGCAAAGATCTGACGCCAATCACACCCTCCAGGTAAGCTGGGAAAGGGGTCTTGTTCCTGAGGTACACACAGCTGTGGTGCTGCCACATGAGTCACTCTTTAGTTAAAGTGACCCAGTTTGTATAAGTTCTTGATGATCTCACTGTTGCTGTGAACTTTTTAGATTTTACTTATTATCTGGCCCTTAAGCCTAATTTTGGTCATATTTATTCAATTCCAGTGGTCTCAAAACAATAACTTTTTTTGAGGAAGATGATATACTCAGTACTCAGTCTTTGTTTTTTTTATGATGGTCTGTTTTTTTGTTTTGTTTTGTTTTGTTTTGTTTTAATCTTTCAGAGGAAGGGAGAGAGTGAGAGAAGTAGAAACATCAGTGATGAGAGGATCACTGATGGGCTGCCTCCTGCACACCCCATACTGGAGATAGAGCCTGCAACACAGGCACGTGCCCTGACCGGGAATTAGACCATGACCTCCTGATTCATTGGTCAACGCTCACCCACTGGGCCATGCCGGCTGGGTGCCTTTGTTTTATTTGGAACCCAAAATGGACGTATAACAAAAGTGAATGTTGTTCATGGGCTTCCACGAAACCTTGAAACCTCACATGTTAGAGAAGAGGGAGAAGAGAATTCCCATGGCCTGATTGAGGGAGATTTTAAGAGTTCTAGTCCTTTAAAGAGGTCCGTGAGTGGGGCGTAGCAAGTTGGCATTAACTTTGAGGTAGTGGTAGCTTATCAAAAAAACCAAGTTTCATTCTTAACAAGTAATCTTTTTGTGTCCACAGTGGCTTCAGTATTGAACTGGCATCTGCCCTTACTGTGGTAATTGCATCCAACATTGGCCTTCCCATCAGTACAACTCATTGTAAAGTAAGTGTTATGTCACATGCGGTGTCATTTGAATGGTTCTGGTAATATGTAAGCTTTTAAAATATATATGTATTTTTATGGATTTCAAGTGGAAGGAAGAGATCTAGAAACATCAGTGATGAGAATCATTGATCGACTGCCTTCTGCATTCCCCACACTGGGGATGGATCCTGTAACCCAAGCATGTGCTCTGACCGGGTTTCGAACCATGATCTCCTGGTTCATAGATCAGCATTCAACCATCGAGCCATGCCGGCTGGGCTAGGCTTTTTACACACACACACACACACACACACACACACACACACACTTTGGTTTAGAAACTTATGCAGTACAACCTTGAAGAGTTGCAAGTTAAGGACATGTGTCAAGAATATACGTAAAGCCTTACATTTTACAATTTCTTTACTCTTATTTAAGCAGATAATACTCTCCCCAAATGATGCAAAAGTCCTTTCCTGTAGAGCTAGCAAGTCTGTGATTGGTTGAAGGGCAGTTTATGTAGAGCCTGTCAGGATTGAAGCGCTAAGAAACCTATTGAGCCCTAGGGTTGCTTGGTGGCCTGTCATGTAACTTAAGGGAAAGGAAGAATCGCTTCCCTGTGAGTAACTTTTCTTCCAAGATCTCCCAGCAGGTGATCAGCTAATAGCCTCACTATAGAACAATCTTGGAAAAACCTACAACTTAAAAGTAACTTATAAATTATTATTGGTGCAAGTCATTAACTTCCAGTAGCTCAGAAGGAAAAGGTAGTGTTCTTATCCTACCATAATATACCCCAGTTAATACCGGTAAATTGAATGGTTGGGTTTTTATATTGCCTTCATTCTCCCACAGGTAATCTCCTTAACCTGTTATACACCAGCTTTCATGGGCTTGGTCTAGTTCAGCAGTCTGGGGCTCCTTACCTACTACATCATGCCTCTCTACCAGAGTATCATTGGAACTTAGTAACCAATTCTCTTGCCTGTTTCTCTCCTAGGTGGGCTCTGTTGTGTCCGTTGGCTGGCTCCGATCCAAAAAGGCTGTTGACTGGCGACTTTTTCGCAACATATTCATGGCCTGGTTTGTCACGGTCCCCATTTCTGGTGTAATCAGCGCTGCTATCATGGCGTTCTTCAAATATGTCATCCTCAGCAGAAACTATTCGGGATGAGAATTGTGCCAGTGTTTGGACCACCACAGCATTCCTGCTCCTCTGAACGATTGCGGTGATACAGGAGACCCAGGACAATCTTTACAGTTTGGGAGCTGTGGGAGGAAGTATTACTTGTGCTACATTTGCTTTTGTGCTAAATATGACTTGTCTCAAAATTAGCTATTTAAATAGCCAGGTTTCCACTGGTTCCTATTGGCTGTGACTTCCTGTACATATTTATCTACTTTTTGTACCCGGCTTCAATTCCATTATGTTTTAATGTTGTGTCTGAAGATAACGTGTGATTTCTTTGTTTTCTTAAACACCATTCAGAGCCATGTGACATACAGTGAGTGTGCTCTGTTTGGGGGTGTCACCAGCTTCTGCCTGAACACGCACAGGGACTTAACAACAAAAACATATCTGAAGCTTCCCTTGTAGTCTCTTAGACAAATAGTCATTTGCACTCTGCCCTCCTGTTGGCAGTGGCAGGTTCTGCTGGTGTTTGTGGCATTTGTGGGGACGAGGTTCTTGGGCACAGTAAGAATTTAAATTAGTAACTTCTGCAAGCAGTGGACTGACTGACTTATTGCCATGAAGAAATAGGAAGAAAAGCCCCTGGCATTTGTGGTTTCTTTAAGATTTCTGGCAGTGTGGGATGGATGAATGGAGTGTGAACTTTGGGCAAATTAGATGGGACAGCCTTCCATGTTCATCTGTCTACCTCTTAACTGAATAAAAAGGCCTACAGTTTTTAGATAATTTGTTGTCATGGTTTTTGTTCATCTGTGAAGCACTGGGGCTCCTGATTAGTTGTCCTTAGCCATTAACAAGTGACACCAACACCCAACCTTGAGTTCCCTACTCCTCCTTGTTGCGGTGCCTGTGATCTCACGACACACAACATCCTCCAGGGGGCTATTGGAAGTGTGGCATATTTCCCCTCAAAAACATTACATTTTTTTTTCAACTACAGTTAACATTAAATAATGTATTAATTTTAGGTGTATGCATTTTTCCTTACACTGGCATAACCTAGACATTTTCACATTGCACATACAGATCTCTTCACCGTTTTTAACATCCATAAAGTTCCCTGTTTGAACAAAGTATTTTTTAATTTTTGTTTTGTTAATCCTCATGATATTTTTCCATTGATTTTTAGAGAGGAAAAGATAGAAACCTTGATGTGAGAGAAATATCGGTTGGTTGCTTCCTACATGTACCCTGACCAGCGTTTGGGCCGGGAAGGAGCCTTCAACCAAGATACGTGCTCTTGACTACAATCGAACCTGGGACCCTTTGTTTTATTTTATTTTATTTTTTAATATATTTTATTGATTTTTTTTTTTTTTTTTTTTTTTTTTTTTTTTTTTTTACAGAGAGGAAGAGAGAGTTAGAAACATCGATGAGAGAGAATCATCTGTCAGCTGCTTCCTGCACACTCCCACTGGTGATGTGCCCACAACCAAGGTACATGCCCTTAACAAGAATCGAACCCGGGACCTTTGAGTCAGCAGGCCGACGCTCTATCCACTGAGCCAAACCGGCTTTGGCAAAAACTGGGCTTTGGTCTGCAGGCCAAAACTGGCTAGGACTGAATGGACTATTTTATAATTGTTTTCCAGCTTTGCTATTACAAAGAATGCTCAGGTGTGTGTGTGTGTGTGTGTGTGTGTGTGTGTATTGCAGGCTCAGCTTCATTTAAATCTTCAGTATTGGTTCCATTAGTCTTGACCATTATCTTTGTAAATGGAAAGTGTAGCTTTGCAAACTAGGTTGATGGTTTCTGCCCCGAGAACCGAGTCTTGGGAAGATGCTTTCTGGCAACCAGACTGCCTGCAAGATTAGACTTGTGCCTGAGGGATTTGATCACTGGTTGGGTACATGCTCCACAGAATCCTCAAGTAAATGTTCATCAGTCCCTGCACTTTATGCACATTTAGCCCTGATACTTGTAGTAGGTCTCATCTTTATTTTACAGCTGATGAAAGGGGCCTGAAAAATATCTGTTTTTCACAATACACACTAGTGTATTGTGGGGCTGGCTGGAGGTAGCCTTGTGTGGCTTTATTTGAGGAAGGAGGCCGGGCCTGTGCTAAAGGAAACCTGGAGCTGCCTCCTGAACTTAGGGTCCTGGAGGAAGCCCTCTGAGTTTTGATACTGGCTTCCTCTCCTGGAGCCATGTGACCTCACGGAGACTGACAGTCTGCCTTGGGGTGAAATGGAGAATAGTAACCCTCCAACATTTCCCCTGTAGCTCAAAAAAGGGGGACAGCGGTAGGGGGTGAGTTATTTTTAAATCAAGGTTGTATGCATATTAAGGAGTCAGGTGATTCAGTAAGGCTTGTAACAATGGATCTGCCATCCCTGTTTTTTCCTTTTCTAAGCCCTTCTCCACCCCATACCCCCCCCCCTCTCTTCTTCCCCTCCCCTTCCCTGCCTCCCTGCTTTCAATCCTAGCTCCTCTGTGTCTCTGATATTAAGCCTTACCTTCTACATACCCAGACCCTAACCCCCCTCCATTACTGTGTTACTGGGTCTTAATTTTGGTAAGATCAATATTCTGAGCATTGGAAAGGTAGTGCTGAGCTGTTGAGTCATACAGTGACTCTACCCTGCTCACTTCCTGATATTTTGTTGTCTTGTTCTTGTCACTAACTGATGTAAAAATCCTAGTTGTCTGTCTGATTTTGTCTTGGGACCATCAAAGTGATAGGCATGGTCTCTCCCTCACGGAAGGAAGCCTCCCTCACAGCTTCTTACCTCATCAGGACAAGTCATACATCTGTCCTGAGAGCATCCTCATCCTCCTTTGTTAAATTTACCATTTTCCGTAGCCCATTTTTCTTTATTTCTTTCTTTTTTTTTTTTTTTTGGCTTAGTCCCTTATTTTTGTGGAGAATGCCCTCTAGCAGCTTCCTGAGAAAAGAGCTGGGGAGGAGTCTTTTTGAGACCTTGTGTGTCTGAATGTGTGTTTATTCTGTCTTCACATTTCAATGATAATTTGAGTATAGAGTCTAGGTTCGAAATAATTCCCCTTTAGAGATCTGATGGCACTGCGTTAGTTGGAAGTCTGAATCCTTTCTGATGACTTGGTGCCTTTGATCCATTTTCCTTGCCAGGAGCTTGGGGTGTTTACTTCTTAGTGTGGCGGACTGGACAGTGCAGAGCTGGTTTACTTTTCAGTGGACTGAGCACTTCACTCCTTCGAAGCCCGGAAATCACATCCTTCAGTTCCAGGAACTTCCTGAGTTACGTTGATATCCTCCACACCTTTTTCTTTCTTCCCTAAGCTACTGAACGAGTCCTCTAATTTCCCAGTTTTTTTCTCTGACCTTGTCCTTTATGTCCTATTTCATGGATGCAATCAACACCTTTTTAAAAATATTGATGATAATCTTAATTTGTTAAAATAGTTCCCATTTTTGGCTCTGGCTTTTGCTCTGGTGTGTGTCCTGCCACGGCTTTCCTTGGCTGCCTGGTGCTCTTTAATCTCATATTGGAGAGCAGCCTGACGTGCTGGAGGGAAGCTCAGTGCGGGAGGTGCTGGTGGGACTGTGGCCGTTTGTCTCCGGCAGTGCTTTCCCACTTGTGATTTTTGTGGCAATATATCAAGTATTGGCAATACTGAGACTTTTGGTTGTCACAGTTGGGGGATGCTACTGGCCAGAGAAATGTTGCTATGAACACTCACAGTGTACAGGAGCTCCACAACAAAGACCCGACTAAAATATCAAAAGTGTTGAGGTGGAGAAACCCTGGGTGAGGGTGATCCCAGAGGAGTCAGGTCTTAGTGTGACTTGAATCTGTGGGGCTGGCGGGGAAGAGGTCACCGTACAGCAGCAAAAGTAGGTTTACAGCTGTGACTATGCAAGACAGTTTATTCTTATTATTTATTAATTGTTTATCTTCCATACAAGCAACTGTAAACCTACTTTTGCCCCACCCTGTATTTCTCTATTTCCAGCACAGGTAGTTCCTGCTTTGTGGCTTCAGCATGCACAAATTCTATACCACCGTTTGGGTAGATAACCCAGTCTCCCAGCAACATGGTTCAAATTTCAGTTGCTGTGGACATGTACTAACTCGGATGCTAGCTCTTCAGTGCAGAAAGCACATTCACAGAGCAGATGCGCATCAGCACCAGTGACCTGCCCAGGCCCTCCTCTCATCTGTGGGTGGCTGGTTGCTGCACATCTGTGAACTCTGCTCCCTCGGGATGACAGCTCGCGGCGCGGCGGCGTCTCCTGTTCTCCCTGCAGTGGAGTGGGCTGCAGAGCTAGTGCGTTTAGTGCCACTGATGTGTTAGCTCCTCATTCTCTTAGCGACTTGAATAAAAGTGTCAAAACTTGCTTTTTTACCATCAAACACAGCTCTCATCAATTCGGCCAGTGGACAAAGAGGTTATTTCCACTTTCATGGACTCTAGGACAGGCTATTGCTGCTATGACTGGAGATTTTGCAATTACTTTAGCCGAGGCTTGGAAGAAATTGAAAGCATCGTAACAAAATGTGACAGTAATGCACAGTGTGGCAGAATTCAAACTGAACATAAACTGGCTTGTATTTGACCGGGGAAAGGCTGGCGCTGCTGCTATGAGAGGAAGTTGATGAAGGTGACCTTGTCAACATGAGGGAGGAAACGGTGCAGATGTCGCAGAGGAAGTGACTGACGGGATTTCACATGCAGGGACTTCTCAGAGATGGTTCCTCAGAGATGGTTGTGAAAAAAGTATGATGTGGGAAGCCCATCCCAAAACACTTCCAGTATTTCTAAAGATTTAAATCAGTGTACTAAGTAAATAATAGCTTAACTATTTAAAAAATATATATATTTTATTGATTTTTACAGAGAGGAAGGGAGAGGGATAGAGAGTTAGAAACATCGATGAAAGAAACATCAACCAGCTGCCTCCTGCACACCCCCCACCAGGGATGTGCCCGCAACCAAGGTACATGCCCCTGACCGGAATCGAACCCGGGACCCTTCAGTCCACAGGCCGACGTTCAATCCACTGAGCTAAACCGGTTTTGGCTAGCTTAACTATTTTTTTTGATTTCTATATACATTTATTACTGTCATTGAATGTTTTGAGAAAAAATTTTAAAGCTCGTAGGACAACAATCTTACCTGTTGGTTATTAGGCCACCTCACATGGTCATATTTGCGGACCCACAGCTACTTGCAGAGCGAGGGTGGCCTGTATGTTACTTGCCTTCAACTCTGCCTACTGCTTCCCCACCCATGGGCCCTCCATTGTGTCCTTTATAAAATAAACTTCCAGTCTGATGCCACGCGGAAGGCCATGCCTGACTGCAGCGTGAGGCACAGGCATGGTGATTTAAAATATACATGAAAATAGAAAAGTGTAATGAACCGCGGGTACCAGGTGCCCTCCATCCAGCTCCAATAACAGCATTCTGCTCTCGCATCCACTTCTCTAACTCACACAGTAACATTTATTTTTTATTGTTTATTTATTTCTATTAAATCTTTATTGTTCAGATTATTATAGTTGTTCCTCTTCCCCCCCCACCCCCCGTAGTACCCTCCACCTGGATCCCGCCCCACCCTCTGATCTTACCGTCCCCTCCCTCCACTGTCCTTATCCATAGGTGTACAATTTTTGTCCAGTCTCTCCCTGCATCTCCCACAACCCCTGAGGGTGGTCAGTCCACTCACTTTCTATGCCCCTGATTCTATTATATTCACCAGATTATTCTGTTCATTAGATTTTTTTATTCACTTGATTTTTATATTCACTTGTTGATAGATAAATATTTGTTGTTCATAATTCTTATCTTTACCTTTTTCTTCTTCCTCCTCTTCTTTTAAAAAAAAAATATTTTATTGACTTTTTACCGAGAGGAAGGGAGAGGGATAGAGAGCTAGAAAGATCGATGAAAGAGAAACATCGACCAGTTGCCTCTTGCACACCCCCTACTGGGGATGTGCCCACAACCAATGTACATGCCTTTGACCTGAATCGAACCTGGGATCTTTCATTCCACAGACCAACGTTCTATCCATTGAGCTAAACCAGTTTCAGTTTCTTCCTCTTTTTAAAGAATACTTTTCAGCATTTCATATAATACTAGTTTGGCGGTGATGAACTCCTTTAGCTTTTTCTTATCTGTGAAGAAGCTCTTTATCTGACCTTCAGTTCTGAATGATAGCTGTGCTGGGTAGAGTAATCTTGGTTGTAGGTTCTTGCTATTCATCACTTTGAATATTTCTTGCCACTTCTATCTGGCCTGCATAGTTTCTGTTGAGAAATCAGCTGACAATCATATGGGCACTCCCTTGTAGATAATTTGTATTTCCCTTGCTGCTTTTAATATTCACTCTTTTTCTTTTGCTCTTGGAATTTTAATTATGATGTGTATTGGTGTGGTCCTCTTTGGATTCCTTTTATTTGGTGTTCTCTGCGCTTCCTGGACTTGTAAGTCTATTTCTTTCCCTAGGTGGAGGAAGTTTTCGGTCATTACTTCTTCAAATAGGTTTTCAGTATCTTGCTCTCTCTCTCTTCTTCTGGCACCCCGTAATTCAGATGTTGGTATGCTTGAAGTTGTCCCAGAGGCTTCCTATACTATCTTCATATTTTTGGATTATTTTTTCTTTTTGCTTTTCCAGTTGGGTATTCTTTGCTTCTTTGTATTTCAAATCTTTGACTTGATTCTTGTGTTCCTCAAGTCTGCTGTTGTATCTCTGTATATTATTTTTTATTTCAGTCATTGTATGCTTAATTTCTAGTTGGTCCTTTTTTATATCCCCGAGAATCTCACTAAATTTATTGGCCTTTTCTTTTTTTAGTGGTTTATTTCTTTCTTTCTTTCTTTCTTTCTTTTTTTTTTTTTTAATTTATTGATTGAGCCGAAACTGGTTTGGCTCAGTGGTAGAGCATCCGTCTGTGGACTGAAAGGTCCCAGGTTCGATTTGGTCAAGGGCATGTACATTGGTTGCACATCCCCGGTAGGGGGTGTGCAAGAGGCAGCTGGTCGATGTTTCTCTCTCATCGACATTTCTAGCTCTCTATCCGTCTCCCTTCCTCCTCTCTGTAAAATATCAATAAAATATATTTAAACAAAACAAAATAAAACAAAAATTTATTGATTGATTATGGTATCACATAATTGTCCTCATTGGCTTTTTCTATAAAATTCTTGAAAAACTTTATAATCGTGGTTTTGAACTCTGTATCCAGTCATTTGCTTTCCTCCATTTTTTTTTTTTTCATTTGTGACCTGTTTCTTTGTCTCTGCATTTTGCTGCTTTCCTGAGTTGATGGAGTGGCTTTGTGTGTTAGATATCCTAGCAGGGCCCAGTGGCTGAGCCTCCCCAGTTTCCTGAGGTGGAGACTCTTGGTGTGCTCCTTAGTGGGCTGTGTGCACAGTCTTGTTGTAGTTAAATTTTGATTGTTGTATCACTGGGAGGAATTGATCTCCAGGCCAAATGGCTGTGAGGATCAGCTGTGCTGGAGACACCCTTATAAGTCAGACTTGCTTCATCGGGGCTTTGGTGCTCACTAAGTCTGCCCCCTGAGTGTGTCCCTTATGGATCTGAGGAGTTGTAATCTGGATAGTCCTACTTTGACCCCTGGGTACACTGGTCTTGGATCTCCAAGGAGGTGCTAATTTAGCCTCTGCCTGAGGCCACCCAACAGGAGCTACAGAGAGATCTGCAGATTCCTCTTTGTTTGAAGTTTGGAGGTGCCCAGATGAGACTGAACTGTGAAGCAGTGCAAGTGCTGTGGGGCTTTGGGCCTTCTTTCAGATTTTCTGAGTCTCTCTGACTCAGCTGCAGTTTGTTAGGTAAGTTTAGATTTTAAAGGACCAGGCAATTCATATGCAAAGCCTCTGTGTACAGCTTGGATGGGGCAGAGTCTCAGGGTGGAGCAAACAGCAATGGCTTCCTGTCAGCCCTGCCCTAAGAGGCCTCCGGGTCTCAGTGTCCCCTGGTAATCACTGCAAGCACTTCTGAGAGAAAGCTGTGCTCGTGTTCTTCCCACTGCCAGACAGTCCAGTTTCTCTCTGTATGAGTCTGGGTCCCCAGAGTCTTGCCCAGAATTGGAGTTCAGAGCAATCAGGAGCTTGTGTCTCCCTGTGGATTGAAAAAGCCAGCTGCCTACTCAGTTGTTAGCCCTCTCTGTGTGCGTGCCTCCGTGCCTCTGCACTTTACTTCTGCAGCTCCTGTGAATCTCCCCGGACATTCAGTCTTCAGTCAGACACTTTATCCACTGAGTACTAAACCAGCTAAGGCTTAGTCATTTTAAGTGAAAAAAATTACTGGAATGTTTAAATTGAAAAAGTTTTGAACAATTAAGCATAGAAGGTAGAGAATGCCTTGCATGCTTTCCCATTTCCCTGTTCCATTACCCAAAGGTAACTCAATAGCTTGCATATCTTCTTAGGCATTTTGCCTGTACATGTGTGCACAGAAACACACAGAATGTTTCTGAGAGATGAAGCTGCTGCTTCCTTGGTAAAGCTCCTTTGGTGTCTAAAAGTTCAGTGGAGTCAGAATAAGCAGGTCAGTGTTGAGCCAACTGGTTAACCACTGCAGTGGCTTATATAATCATGCTCTTGTTTACTGGCAAGTTGCCATCACCTTTGCAGGCTGGGCTAAGCTTTAGGCCACTGGTAAGCTGGGGCTTTCAACAGTTCATTTCCTGGTTGGCAAGGAAATAAAAGGATTTGTTCTCACCCTACCTTACTTTTGAGTTCAGGCAACTTAAAGCTGCCCAGAGTCCGAAGGTGACATGCTCATTAAAAGCTGGGCTGTGGTGTTTCCCATAAAATCCACCGGCCTGGGGACGTCTGGTCTATTAACCCCTGTCTACTGGGTTTGTGGTGTACATATGACTCACAAATATCTTTTTTTTTTTTAATAGTTGTGTTTTTTTATTGTTTTTAGAGAAAGAGGAAGGGAGAGAGAGATAGAAACATTAAAGATGAAAGAATCGTTGATGGGCTGCCTCCTGCATGCCCCCTACTGGGGATCAAGCCCCAAACCCTGACATGTACCCTGACTAGCAATTGAACTGTGATCTTCTGGTTTATGGGTCAATGCTCAACCACTGAGCCACACCAGCCGGGCCAATTTGCAAATATCATTGCCAATGATTTTCTCTTGTCGCACAGCTGATCTTGTTCATCGCTCTCAGTTTCAATAAGGCTACTGAACTCCTGTTCCGAGGTGTCAGGGTCGCTTCTCTTCAGCCCTGTTCTTTCGCCTCTACTCGAGAGGCCGGACTTCTATATAATTCTTTAACGACCCTCTGTTTCAGCGGGACCCTGAGATGTCTGAAAGCTTGGAAGGGTTTGCTAGCTGGAGATCACTGAGGTGTTCTTCCCAAACTGTTACCTTTGTGGTAGATGGAGACATCAGACTATTTAAAAAAAAAAAAAAAATATATATATATATATATATATATATATATATATATATATATATATATTATTGATTTTTTACAGAGAGGAAGGGAGAGAGATAGAGAGCTAGAAATGTCGATAAGAGAGAAACATCGACCAGCTGCCTCCCGCACCCCCCCTCCCCCACCGGGGATGTGCCCGCAACCAATGCACATGCCCTTGACTGGAATCAAACCCGGGACACCCCAGTCCGCAGACTGACGCTCTACCACTGAACCAAAACCAGTTTCAGCGACATCAGACTATTAATCACTGTTTAAAATAACTATGAAAATAGCCAAAACACCGGTTTGGCTCAGTGGCTAGAACGTGGGCCTTGGACTGAAAGGTCCCAAGTTGGATTCCGGTCAAGGGCATGTACTTGGTTTTGGGCACATCCCCAGTGGGGGGTGTGCAGGAGGCAGCTGATTGATGTTTCTCTCTCATCAATGTTTCTGACTCTCTATCCCTCTTTCTCTCTGTAAAAAAAATCAATAAAATATATCTTTACTAAAAACAAACAAACAAATAAATAAATAAAACAACTACGGAAATGAAATACCAGAGCTGCCGATTGGTCCTTTGCCTTTCGAACATCAAGGCTTTTGTGCAAACGCCTTCTGTTCTATTCGGACAGGATGCGGGTTTCTCACCTCATCTGAACAGGCTGGGGTGCAGGGCAGAGTGCTGCTGCTGCAGGCACAAATGAAAATTGTAAAAAATCAATTTCCAGCTCGGCCTCCCTTCCTGGGGCTGCACTGCTGAAGACCCAGATAGAGGCGCCTACCTCCCATTCATCCTATTTCTGGAAGCAAGCAAATGCTCTCTAATTGCAGGCTTGGGCGAACGCCTCAGCAGTGTTTCTCACTGCGCTAATTGGTAAAATATAATTTTCAACTCACTGTGTCCTGCTTTGCAAAATAATAGTTGGCAGCTGAGTTGCCAATTTATTTCCTGAAGTGAAACTGCTTTTTAGTATAGCATTAGGGATAATGGGCCTTTGGAAATCCCGGGGAGACCTTGTGCTGTGTACAAGGACCATTACAGTTCAGATTTCAGCCTATGAGCACCAAGTGCCTATTGACTTGATGTCTTTTCCTGGGCTTTTTTATTAAATTAAATTTCAATGATGAATTTTGGGGGGCCGGCTTCTGGGAACATTAGTCAATTCGGCCCATTAGTTGAGCCCTATGATGGGCCTGTGTGTTTCTTATTGATTTGGAAGGGAGGTGGTTTTCTTTGGGCTAAGACCTTAGCTTCTGGCAGGCTCTTGTCAGCCTCAATGTGGTTGGCCTTGCCAGCTTCCTGGAAATACTGTCAGCTTGTGAGTAAAGTTGGTGTGACACTTGGCTTTTCTTAGAGTGGCCATCGTGTCCACAGAGAATCGCTATCTGGCATAGAGAAAGGCTTTCCATTCAAAGTTTAATCTCTCTAAGCTTCAGTTCCCTTGTCCAAAGATTGGTGAAAATAATTGTACTATGTTAACAGATTTTCATGAGGATTAATTAAAATAATGCACGTAAAGTATGCAGTGCCTGATACTTCATAAATAGTGTTTACTGTAATCATGCCAGTAAATATAGGTAACTTTTCTTAATATGGTAACAATTATCTTGACACTGATTCCTTGACACTGATACCTTCTTTGACACTGATACCTTCTTCTTCTTTTATCATTAAGGCAATTTTCCTTAATGATACATTTATTTCTTAAATCTAAAATGAAGAATTTAATTGAATGGATTGCCTTTATATAAGTTAGGATTAGGTTAAATTTAGTGGCAGAAAATACCAAGAACAGAGAAGACAGTTTATTTCTCCCCCAAGTGTAAGAAGCCAGTGCTGTTACAGTGGTTCCCTGGTCTCCAGGATAGGGAGGGGGCTCCACCTTCAGCACGTGATGACCGCCTGAGACTCCAGGCCCCAAGCTGCCCGCTATCAATATAGGTAATGTTGTCTGGTCTGCTCACTCAGGAGTCCCGATGCCTCGTTAGGCAAAATACACGTCAGAGAGTGGGAGATAAGCCTCACTCTTGGTACCAACTTCTGCATCAGAATCCAGTCAGAAGATGGGAATCATAGGTGTTTAACAAAAAAAGTTTTAAAAAAATATATTTTATTGATTTTTTACAGAGAGGAAGGGAGAGGATAGAGAGTTAGAAACATCGATGAGAGAGAAACATTGATCTACTGGGGGTGTGCAGGAGGCAGTTGCAGTCTGATGCTCTATTCAGTTGCATTCTGATGCTCTATTCACTGAACCAAATTGGTTAGGGCTGTTTAACAGAACTTAGTCAAAGAGTTGTTATCTAGGTGGAAAGTGTTAACTGTTAACTGAAATGGCCCAAAGCAAAGACTGAGATGTCACCGAAACCGGTGTGGCTCAGTGGATAGAGCGTCAGCCTGCGGACTGAAAGGTCCCAGGTTGGATCCCGGTCAAGGGCATGTACCTTGGTTGTGGGCACATCCCCAGTAGGGGGTGTGCAAGAGGCAGCTGATCGATGCTTCTCTCTCATCGATGTTTCTAACTTTCTATCCCTCTCTCTTCCTCTCTGTAAAAAATCAATAAAAATATATATATATATATATATATATATATATATATATATATAATAAATAATATATATATATATATATATATATATATATATAGAGAGAGAGAGAGAGAGAGAGAGAGAGAGAGAGAGAGAGAGAGAGAGAGACTAAGATGTCATGGAGGTGGGAACTATGCAGGCCGGGAAACAAAGATATTGGAGTTATTAAAACTTGGAGCCTGGCCCTTGTTGGGTTGGCCCAGTGGACAGAGCCCTGGCCCTCAGAGTGAAGGGTCCCAGTTTTGATTCTGGTCAAGGACACATACGTTGCTCACAGGCTAAATTTCAGGCCCTGGTTGGGGCATGTGCAATAGGCAACCAATCTATGTGTCTCTCTCACATCAATATTTCTCTCTCTGTCTCTCCCCCTCCTGTCCACTCTCTAAAAACCAATGGAAAAATACCCTCGGCTGAGGATTACCAACAATAACAACTTTAGGAGCGTGGAGGGGAGCCCTGTGAGGCTGATAGATCTCTGGGGAAGCGGCCGCATGGCTGGTGCTGGCCTCTCAGCTTGGAAGGATTGGTGGGCCTGGGCCCACACCTGAGGTGGGTGGGCCTGGTGGCGGCTGGTGAGAAACTGACTGAGGGCTACCAATCTGCAAACAGGACCAACTACTGTAGAGGAAGGAATTGCTGCATCAGAGTGAAGCAATGTGTGGTGACTTCACAGGGACAGGAAGCAGACAATCAGGAAGTTGGTCTCCGCAGGTTCCTCTCAGCTCCTCTGCTGCAGACCACAGCAGGGGTAGCTACTAGATTCACCCCAGCATTGGACTATACACTTAGAACAATTGGGCCTTCAAAACAATTTGATGGGAACTAAGTCAGGCATAGGAAAGGTTATCTAGAAAAGGCTAAGTGGCCAACCGTCCCTCCAACCGTCTGACCAGTCCGTATAAATGACACACACTAGCAATTTTAAAAATAAACGTTGACTCGAGTATGCATGATATCTATAAAGCTCTTGCTGGCACCAATAGCATGCAACACCAGAAGAATGTATCTGAATACCAACTATTGGTACAATGTACCTCAGAAGCTGAAAGAAAGCATCGCTATCAACAGAATATGTCTGAAGACCAACTATTTAATTTCCTTTCAGTGTGCACGAATCCATGCACTGGGCCACTAGTTTAGGAAAAAAATAATGACCATTCATGTACCCACCACGTAGTGTACAATTTTAGGGCCTGGATTTGCTCTCCCTGACCTAATTTAGTGCTCATTGTTTTTTAGTTTTATGATACATGTATGCATCTCTAAGTGATCCATAGCACTGGTTTGCAGGTTCTGAGGCTCTATGTAAATGACCTCACACTGTATGCATTCTCACACAAATTACTTTAAGTACTGTGGTCGTGCAATTCCTCCATTTTTATATGTGGCTCATTCATGACCACACACGTTTATCTGATTTACTGGTCAACACTTAGATGGTTTCAAATTTTTGAAAATTAAAAACAGTGCTACCATTTGCCTTATCATATAGGTTTCCTTGGGCATTTTGTGCAGGAGTCTCTCTAAATCAAGGACTAGAATTGATGCATTGTACTATATGCATCAATGTACCTTTACTCTTATGAGATCTTGCCAAATTGTTCTCCAAAATTAAACCATTTTATACTCTCATTGTCAAGTGTATCAGAGTTCCAATTTTTTGCCTTTGTCAACACTTAGTATTTGTCAAACAAAATTTTTTTTTTGCCAAATACATTATTTATTTTGGGGTGGGGGGTAATGCTCACTCAAGGATATTTTTTCCATTGATTTTTAGAGAGTGGGAGGGAAGGAGAGAAAAGCAGGGCGGGGGGAGAGGGGGAAGAGAGAGGACATACTAGTAGATGAGAGACATCAATTAGTTGCTTCCCAAATGCACTCCAATTGGGACTGGGGTTTGAACCAGCACCCTGGCTATGTGCCTGCAACCTTTTTGGTGTATGAGATAATGCTTCAAACAATCGAGCCACCAGACTGGGGCTTCAGTCTCTAACATTTGAGATAGTTTGTTAACAACAGAAATCAGAGCTGCAGCTGAAATCGGTTTGGCTCAGTAGATAGAGCGCCGGCCTGCAGACTGAAAGGTCCCAGGTTCGATTCCGGTCAAGGGCATGTATCTTGGTTGCGGGCACATCCCCACTATGGGATGTGCAGGAGGCAGCTGATGGATGTTTCTAACTATCTCTCTTCCTCTCTGTAAAAAATCAATTAAAAAAATAAATCAGAGCTGCAGCTAAGGAGACACTGGGAACAGGTGTCCTTTATCCTTCATGGATATCGCAAAATCTGTGTATTTAAACATTTCCCCACTTAAAATGCCGCTGTTTCCTGTTTGTGGGGTTTTATTGCCAGGGTCTTGGTAAGATCTCCCATATCAATGGCCCAAGGTGGAGTGTTGGACTCAACACAGCCTGACTTGAGCATAATTATAAGCATTTAGATAATGCTGGCATTTTCTGAACACCTAGCACACAGCTCCAGCATCCCCAGTGAACACAGTGGTCTCTGGCCGCCTGGTCTATCCCGACTGCAGAGAAACCTTGATGGGCTGAGCCTTGGTCTGCCTGCTTCCCACTCCCTGTGTGAGAGAGGGAGCCCCGGCCCACCCTGTAGAACTTGCTGTCAAACCACAGAGTACATGGGAAGAGCTGCTGATCTGTGAGCACAAAACCGCTGCGATAGGCCAATGAAAACTGTGTTTTGGAAAGAGAGAGGCTGTGTGGGATGTTGCTACTGCAGAGCTGCTGGGCTGACACCAGGCTGGTGCCTCCCTGCTTAGTTCCTCCTGAGCCGCCCTCCTGGTGCCCAGGAACTGCCACCATGTTGGGGGGAGGAAGGGAGAACAGCAGCCCTGGAAGGCCTCCTGTGTCACTGGGCACTTCTTCCTGTGACAGTTGCAAATGGCTTTCTGGACAAAACACTGTCACATGGCCCCTGTCCCTGAAAGCTGTGAGCCCCTTTATGGAGGGGCTGGTGGAGCAGCAGCGAGGACCTGGCTCAGTGTGGTGTGGGCTCTCGTTCCTGACATGGGTCCCCATGTCCTGGGCCTGCCTTTCTGTAGCCTCACCCTAGGGCTGGCAGGGTTTGACCCTGAGCTTGGGAAGAAATGACAAATGATGTTATGAGTCTAAGAGATAAAGGACCAAGTTTCTCCAGTGACACAAGTATTTCTCTCCAGACTTTAGGGCCCGGGCTCCAGGCTGTTTCCCTTTTTGCTCCCATAGGAAGCCCTGTGCTATGGCCATGTGATATCCCAGCAGCCCCAGGTTTCTGGTCAGGACTTCAGTCCTTCCAACTCCAGCAGCCAAGATGAGCCAGCCCCACTCCCTCCAGGATGACATGTAAGCAAGTGTGGTCTCACCAGGGTGACCCTATAAGACTTCTGCTGGAGGTTTCTGGGCAAGGAATGTCTGCCATGTGATGATCACACCCCCAAAGGGAAGCATGCAGCCGAGGTATCCTCTGGGAGTCCCAGCCTTTATGAAGGATGCCGCCAGCCATGGGGAAGGCAGTGCTGGGTCTTCAGAACATCACTGGTTTCATTTCTTGCAACTGAAATCGTCTTAACTTGTGCCCTGGGGATGCTGATCACTACTTTGATCTGAGCCGTGGTCCCGATGTGTAGAGACAACTGGGAATTAGCACTTGGTCCCTTCTGAGAACCCCAGGGCCCTGGGCTGTGGGCTCCGGGAGAGACTGTCCTGACCTATTGGCCCTAATAGTCCAGGCAGAGGTGGACCCTCCTTCCCAGAGGTGAGGGGACCTAAGCTTCCTGTCCTAAGGGATCTACCATCAGTCATGTCCATGCAAATATGGTCCATCACTGGGCTTCAAGAGCAAGTCCCCTAGGAGAGTCTGAATAGCTGGTAAATATTCATGATGCCCTTTCCCCCTACTTAGTCATACCAGCAGTTCAAGCCATAGCCTCGCCCTGGCCCATTCAGGTCAATGGATAGAGAGTCTGGGTTTTGATTCTGGTCAAGAGCATGTTCCTTGGTTGTAGGCACACCCACTGGGCAGAGCAGATGTGGATTAACAACAACATCAGCAACAACAAAAAAGCACCCCCAATCCTCCCCCCACCCCCAAACACAGCCTCCGGCTCCTCTGTCTGTGTTCTGGGTCTCCCCCTCTGACCCCGGGACGTGGCTTCCAGGGGCGATCAGGCGCCTTTTCTCCTATCAGCCCTGGGCAGCCAGGAGCCTGCCTGTCCCGCCCGGTGTGCGCTCCCTGACATGAAGGTGGGGCCTCCCGCTCCCCTGAGTCTGCTTGGGCCTCTGTCGTTCCTTTCCCTCCTAATGGGTCATTAAGGTTAAGTACCCTCAGTGAATGATTAAAAAAAGAGACTGGGCGAGCAAGAGCATAAACTGATTAAAAGTTAATACTCAGCTTAATGTTAACACTCAGTTAAATTACAACAGTGAGAATAGTTTGGTGGTATTTTCCATATAGTCCAAGAATAGACATCAAATCATTGGGACTGAACAGACTCAAGTATATGCGATATATAAGAATGTATGTGTGCGGCCCTGGCCAGTGTGGCTCAGTTGGTTGATGTCCTCTTGTGCACTGAAAGGTTGCTGGTTTGATTCTTGGTCAGGGCACATACCCAGGTTTTGGGTCAATCCCTGGTAGGGGGTGTGCAAGAGGCAGCCCATTGATGTTTCTCTCTCACATCTATGTTTCTCTCTATCCCTGCCCCTTCCTCTCTCTCTCTCTAAAAATAAATGAAAATAAAATGTTAAGTGAATTTTCTGTGTGGTGCCTCCTGTGGCTGGATGAGCTTCGACTCTCAGTTGCCGGCAGCTCCCAGGACCTCCCAGCTGCTGCTGCTGAGCTGACAGCCCTTGAAGACTTGAGCCCAAACTTGGCTAATCTTTCTTTTTCTTTTTATTAAATATGTTTTTATTTGTTTCAGAGAGGAAGAGTGAGGGAGAAAGAGATAGAAACATTAATGATGAAAGAGAATTGTTTGATCAGATGCCTCCTGCATGCCCCTGGGCATGTGCCCTGATTGGGAATCGAGCTGTGACTTCCTGGTTTATAGGTCAATGCTCAACCACTGAGCTACACTGGCTGGGCTGGGCTAGGCTAATTTTTCGTATTTATTTGCAGTTGGCAGTGAATGGCTGTCCCTCACTGGGCCTTTGCCCCCAGGTCAACACCAGGCTGGGTCCCTGGAGAGGCCGGCATGGGGCTTGGTGCTCTCACGCCCAGGGCGCCTTAGCTGGACTCTGCCTACCCCAGGCCCTGGTCTGAAGCCAGAGCTCCAGAGCTCCTTTTCCACTGGCCGCCGAGGAAAGCTGGGCAGAGTCTGAAGGGGAGGAAGCATCTGTTAGAAACACAGTTTCATCAGAGTGAAAGCTAATTTTAAGACATTTGGAAGTGGCTGCTGGGACAGAGGTCCCTAAACTCCTGGGGACAGGATTGTCTGCTGGGTGACCATGAGGGGACGACACTCAGCTAGCTCCAGGTCCAGTTTCTTTATCCCGCTGTGGGTGGCCATTCTGGGGCAAAGGTCCCAGAACCTTATAGCTGAAAACTCCAGGACCCTTAGCGTGCCGGTGCCAGCCCTTCGGCGGGCACACACTCAGGGAGA